GGCAGCGGTCACACTGCCCCCCGTACACCCCGGGGAAGCAGTGGCACTGGCCCGTCTCCGCGTCGCAGAAGGCGTTGTAAGAGCCTCGGACGTGGCACTCGCACGCTGCAAGGAGAGGGGGAGAGGGGCTGCGTTTCCACGGAAAGCTCTAAACGCAGGGCCCCGACCACAGCACAGCCCAGAGCTGAGGGTTTAACGTACGTCGGCATCCGCTCGGCCCAAACCCAAAGGTGCCAGGGGCGCATCTGTCACACTGTCTTCCGACAACGTTGGGACGACACTGGCACTGTCCTCCACTGGGGTCGCACACCGAGCTCAGGGAGCCCTGGGGGTCACACTGGCAGGCTGAGTGTAGAAAAGCATCAGAGGGAGTGAGCACCATGGCGCAGGGCATGAACCACCTGCCTTGTCCCATGCACACACCTGCCCCGTGCAAACCGCTCTGCCTGCAAGCTCCATCCAGCTTCCAGGTGCTGTTTGCCCTACAAGTAGATGGTTACGTACATAATGCAGTCTCATGTAATAGCGCAGAAATGCTGAATATGATGTTCTTGCAGACGTCTGTCATGGGGGTCTTCACAACACTCCTGCTGTTTTCCAGACACCGGTATCTTTGGAAAGTTTCCCAAGCGCTGTTTGTGACTACATCTTCGCCTGAGCCTCCCACTGTGAATATGTCCAGCGATTTGCAGTACGGCATGAGAACAAGCTACAAAACAATTTTACAATGATGAAGTGTCACTATTTATAAATAGCCTCCACCAAAATTGTGAAAATTCAGTATTATCTTGCTTCCTATCATCCTTGTTTAGCCAAAAAGCAAACAGACAGATTCAGAAGGGAAATGACGATATTTCTCTAGTTTTTGGTGGAATAGTTCTGGTATCTACCAAATTTACCAAATTCTATCCATTCAAAAGAAAAAGGTTGACATTGACATTCATGACATACATGGCACCCATTAGCCTCCGCAAAGAAACTACAGGTCTGTGGAACTAGCTGCAGTCCTGAAAATACCGCAAAAGCCTCTTAGCAGAAAAACAACCCACGTACTTTGAGATGGAAAAAACCTATGCTGCTTTACATTTTTCAGTTAAAATCTGGCTTCAGCTGTAAGCAACAATGTTGTGAAATACTATTTTGGATTTACACAGGCGCATGCCAGAGGAGATGCAAACTTTCAGCCTTTTAAATACACCTTTACTCCAGAGCATCCCCCAAATAGTTTCTGCTCACAGAGTCAATGAGCGTGTACGGGCTCTCCGTCTCCGTATCCACCGAGGAGTACTGGGGCAGCTCCAGGCGGATGGTGTAATTCAGCCCCTTTTCAAAGCAGACGGGCCGCGGGAGAACAACGTATCTGGATTGGGAACAGGAAACAATTGTTACTTTAAACGTCCAGCACTGTAAAGCGCTTCAGGTGGCTCTATAAAGCAATTGAGATAACGGAAAGCAGCCAAGACCGGGCAGAACAAAAGGTACGATGTGAAAGAGGTGGTTAGGAGGCTTGTGTAATTCAGAATCAGAAAAGCCGATCGGCAAGGTAGTCACACCGATGTTCGCTCACAGGCTGTGCAAACACTTCCTCCCCTCTTTACTCAGTGAACAAAACAAATCAGAAAATGAGAATAAACTTAAAAGCTTTGAGGCTACAGATACAACGCTAAATGTGTTTTTATAACCCACTGAAAATTAAATTTCATCCATTTTTACAGAGGTCACGGAAAACTGAAAACGAGACATTACTCTGTTTCAATTTTTTAGATTTTTTTTTTTTTTCTCCTTTTGGACCCCCCAGTTATACTGACCTGGAGCCGGGTGACAGTGAGACGACCTGATTGTCATCATCAGGAACTGTATTGCCACACCGGCTACCCGTGGGAATCTTGCCTGGGCGCGAGACGCTGATCACAGCTTTTTCCCACTGATCCGGCAACTGGGGGGAAAAAAAGGCTGATCAGCATCAAGCAACGGCCATAAGCTCCCGGAATCATCCAGAGCTCAGGCCAGGCAAAGTGTGCACACAGACAGGGTGGTCACTGTGCTTCAGGAAGGATGGGGCTGCAGCTCCAGCATCAATGGGGTATCCACCGCCTGCAGGTTTGGGCTGAGACAAGACAAGGTAAGTGCCTCTGGGCGTCCTCCAGCATGACGGCCTCTCTCCCTCCCTCCCAAAGAAACACGACTAGGTGTAGGTGGTCAGTAGCCCCAACCACAGCATGGCATCAGCAGGGGGTTTGGCGACCTCCTCCCCCCCCACCTCTGGGTACTGCACCCGAGTATTTCACTGCAGTCAATTGCTGCCAAGCTCTAGGTAAGGAGCTGTGGGGATTCTTCTCTTTCTTTCCCCTCACCCTGCGAATTATCCACAGTCAAAACCGACTGCTTGCAAACTCTTGGCTGCAGGCATTCAACATCCAAGACAGGCAATTTGACTCCTAAGATGTATAACAGCGTTTCCACCCATTAGAAGGCCGTCTGGCTGATGCCAAATTTGTATTCTAATCTGTTCTGATGGGACCTGTCACTTTTTAATTTGTTCATTAAACAGATGCTGAAACAACACAATGCAAGAAACTGTAAAGCAAATAATAATAGTAATAGTCAACATCATCTTGGATTTTCACACATCTCAGACATTTAACTGAGTGTCCATCCTTGTCTTTGAGTCCTGATGACTCCTGGGCTCCTGTCAGTCGTGCATCAGCACAGCCGGTGCCTGCCGGGAGGCAGCAATGCCCATACTCACAGACCCACCTGCGGCTCATAGCGGACCACAATATCGTACTCCATGGAGTAGGGGATGTTGTCGATGTAGAATTCCAGGTACGCCCCCTCAGGGACTCTTACAAATCCTATGCCTGTCCATGATGGTGTGCGGTCCGGTGTGTACTGGCGTTCTATTATGTTTACTCCCTACAAAAACAGGGAACAGAGATTTTAATACCGATGCATTAAATTTGCAAGCCCCATGGGAGTATGTGAAGTGATGAGCTCTGCTGATGGATCACTTTTGGATTGCAGCATCCATCATTCGCATCCCAGAGAACATGAATTCTCTTTTAAACCCATACGTGTGCACACTGTTGCCCTTCCGCTTAACAATATACAAAAAGCAAGAAAGATAAAATAAAAAACACTGCACAACTCTTCATCCGTTTCTCTATTATGGTAGAAAATTAAATTAAAAAACTTTCTGCGAGTAACTAATCCACCAGCTACGACATCTCAGTCCCCATAAGGACTTTCGCATCATACTTGTAGCAGCAGGGTTTACTGCAGCCGCACATAACTGCTCTATTTACTGCCCAAGCTGAGTGCTAATTGCTTCCTGACTACGCTGGGCTGCTCCAAACCAAATCACTGCTCAGGATAACATTTGAAAAGCAGATCACGGCCTTCATGAGTAGGGTGTCACTAAATAAGAGATCCTAATCATCGATCGATATTTAATAGCCAAATCAATATGTGGTCACTCCTTCCAATCTGAGGTGCCAGGTTTTCATCTGCTACTCTTTATATAAAGCAAAGAAGAGGAAAAAGGCAACAGAAAATGGAAACGTGTGGTGCTGAAACTTCCCATTTCAAATATATCTCTGTCCATGAATAGTCCTCTCCATAGAACAACATCCTGTGCATTTCTAAGGAAGCTGCTTCAGTAGAAAGAGATAAAAGGTAAGGAAATGTCTCTCTCTGTATATATCACTTCAGGATGTCCCCTCATGTATTCTCACATTCTTTGAAGAAAGCCTGGCTCTAAGTTATTACCCCTTGGCTTTGCACAAAGGGTCGGAGCTCCCCAGAAAGGATGGCAGGCGGGACGTGAACAAGGGGAGCAGGGGGGCTTGGCACCGCCTGCAAATCCCTGCAACTCTGTGCCACTTCATTTTGTCTTGTGCTGGGCCCCTACCTGGGAATTTGGAGTTGTATTCTGCCACCAGATTTGTGAGAAAGATTTTCAATGCTGGCATTTTTAAAAATGGTTTGTTCTGAAGGTTTCAAAAGGCAAACCAGCTGCACATCCCCTTGCTCTGCTTGGCGAGGTGGGTTTGCACGCCGGGCTCCTCCATCCCTGAGCCTCAGCGAGGCCTCGGGTACCACCTCTCCAGTCGGGAAGACACAAATGCACCAAAACCCCTGGGCCAGCTCACATGCCCTCCGCTGTGGTCCAGCTTCTGCTCTACACCACCTTCCCTGTCTGCAGTTATCTAAGAGCAAAAATCCTCTGCCTTCGCCGAAACGTAAGGTGGCTGCGTTTTGCCTGAAATAAATAAATCAGCGCCCCAATTGCAGGCAGACAAGGATCTGCTGCTTTAGAGAAACAATTACCTCATCTCCCTGACTCCTTGCTGGAGGTAAAAATAATTGGTGTAATCACCTAGCTGCTCTTAATGAATTAAAGGTAAGGCTGTGCAGTGATGAACAGAAAGAGCCAGGGACCCTGATGTACCATGCCAGTGGGCAACACAAGCTATAGGCAGCCTCACTTACAAAGCCAGTTTTTTGCACAATCAGGTCTGGTTTTAGTCATTAATAAGGAAAAAGCTACTGATGTACAGAAACTCTAAAAGCTGTGGCGATGTGCTTAAATGCGTGTTTTGTTCCCTCCCGGTTTCAGTGGCACCAAAGAGAAGGGGCAGCATTGGTGTCCCACCGTTCCTGAGATAAGAGGGGAAGGAGAACTGGGTGCGGTGGGGGCCTCTGCAGTGGGGTACAGAGAGGGATGCTGACAGGAAGCTAACTGTACAGTCATGATCAAAGAAACAGGTTTAAAAAGAAAAATGGCAGTTTCCCCCCCCCAAATGACTACATTATTTATTGATACTAAGATTGAAGAGCTACAGGTTGACGGTTTTCTGACACAATTCAGTTTTGTGTTTTCCACGTTTTAATTGCAAAACACTCAGGGCATAAAAGAGATGCTTCCAACACCCAAATGCTGAAACAACTTCCCCACAGCTGTCCAGACACACCAGCCGACTAAAACTGCTACTCACGGGACCCAAGTTGGCTTCCTCCGCCTCGTAGACGTAATGATCGAGTGAAATGAAGTAATAGCCAGGCTCCACCTGGTTGCACTGACGTCCAAACATGTGGGGCCGGCATTCACATTGGCCAGATTGACTCGAGCAGCTAAAAAGGAAAAGCAATGAAGTTACAACACAACTTGGCTACACTGAGACTGTGCTAAAGCTATCTTCCACTTTGCCATTTTAAGTGACATGGGAGAAGCAGGACTTCTGGACAGAGCTGTGCCTAGACACAAGATGTTCTCGGGCTCTGCAGCTGGACCATCTGCACTGCTAAAATGGCAGCATGGTCCCAGGCACAGTCTGGGCTCAACCCAACTATCATTCTCCCAAACAACTCCTAGGCTCAGGCTAGGAGCAAGCACGGGCCAGGGACCATTTCCAGTAGGCAGTTTGCGTGTGGTTTCCTTTGTTTGGATGGCGAGAGGATTTCATGCTATGGATGGAGGTGGTTCCCTGGGGTCAGACAGCAGTCCCGGGAGAGCTTCACTTGCTACCACAGACGTAGCCAAGAGGCACGTCTGTCCTGCAAGCC